GATGATATCAATGAGGTCATCCATAGAGGCAGCAGACCACACTGACTTTCGCCCTGGCTTCTTATTCCCTACTTTTTTACTGTCAAACTCAGGATCATCTGTTTCTTTCTCTTCTTCTGATAGCTGATCTAACTCGTAATCTACCTCATCATTTACTTCAGTCACAGAACTGCTAAGGAAACATAACAGTATAGAAAAGTGGTTTGTTAGACATGTCATATGGAGTAATCAAAAAAACCATGAGAATATTGTATTGTACTAACTAARCCCATACWACAGTCTCTTTATGAATGAGTGCTAATTAGAARTTGATTTTAGTATATAGATCTTATAAAGATGTTACATTACATTCGCAACTTGCAAAATATACACCTGTATTACACGAAAAAAAATCTTATGAGCTATTTATTATACAACAAAGTTTTCTTCAAGATTTTATTACAAATAAATAGAGAAGAGTRAATGCTTTTTTAAGAAAAAAWTTTTAAGGAAGCAAATGTAGTGCTGTCAAAAGGTGTAATACGGCTGGGTATTTGCACTCTACTTTGACCATATATGGTAAAATGATGTAAAAGTCRTATAATAATTGCACTCTACTACAGTGTGATGAACAAGAGGGAAGTATGTCTCCCATTAGGCATTAACAAATCATCCCAAAATGTAGTTCTATATAGTGAGTGGTAAGTGACCAAATATGATTATTAACCATTGTAGTTTAAAGTATCACTTCACTGAAATGTTAATGTATCAACATTGCACCTTTTACACATGTGTAAGTGGTATACAAAAGAAGAAAACTGGCAGTTATGCAAGTGATTTTTTTTTTGCAATTTATACTCATTTGATAATGCAGATTATAATTTGGCAACTTTAAAAGCTCATTTGGACCTGCCTGAACTAAAAGTATCCCAATCTAAACTTAAATTTAACCTAATTATAACCATTATCATTGAAGTATACTATGATGTTGAGCTATTGTGGAGATTATCCTAGAAGAAGAAGAAAAAGAAAAAAAGAAATCAGAGACTTAAGTTATTGATATATGTTTATAAATATAATGTTGTCAAGCGTAACAAAACTTTCTAGATTTACACACATGTCGTTTAATCGGCTCTTGAGCACAGATATCCTTTAGATTAGTTATAGTATTTATTTTGTTTCATTTTGGATGGTCATGTAAAATATTTTCACTGACAATTTCATTCATTAGTTTTGATTCTCCCGACTCCAGAAGAAGTTCATGTTTAATAAGTTTCCTTGATTTATCTRCATGGAAGTTTAATAAGTAAATAAATAACACGACTCGTTTTGGCAGTGCTTACCTTCCAACTTCAGGTTTGTCTTTCCTTTTCTCCTCAAAACAGACCTGACAGTACCCTACCGACTTTCCCATTGTCCARCCGGGTGTGTTTTCATCATTCTCGAATAATGTACATTCACAGCAGAAGGGCATAGCGCACGATAAACAAAAATACTTCGTGCCCTTAAAGCACGAAGAGCACATATCATCCGCCATCTTGGATCTCTCAAGACCRTATCGCGCATACTCATTACCAAATACCGCCGCTTTTTAGGTCCGGGCTCACCTTATTTTAATGTATGCATTTGATTCGGCACAACAGGAGCTCGACGTTTGAATCAGTGTCGAACTTTTGCCGTGCGGCTCGACTGGCGCGGTCGAGCTCAGTACTGTGTCGAACCTAATCCTGTCGTGCCGAACTTAATTGATTCATACGTCGAGCCTCTTATGTGCCAAATAGATACTATTAGGTTCGGCACATGAAAAGCGCGACGTATGAATCGGGCCTTAGCGAGTGTTTCTTGTGGCACGTGCAGGAGTTGTCGTGGACGTAAAAACGCGTTTTCAAACATTCATTTTGTGTTCAAAGTATGGTTTTCTTATCTTTGAACAGTTAGAACATGTGTATTAATATTTTTTCGAACATCTTTGCCCAATTTTCCATTTCTTTAAATGATTTTCTAAAACCAATTTTCTTCGTACTTTGAAGACCAATACCTCTCCTCACCTACTCCTCCCTGAGAAAAAAATGTTTATATAATGTTTTGTGAGAATATTTTTTTCTTTGAATAATTAAGCTTATAAAAAACATAATTTATACAAAGTAGTACAAAATATTTTTTTCAAAATATTGATTAGAGAGATTCCATAAGTCATGGTTCTCTCTCCTTTGTTCTTGGTGGTCACTTAATTAGCAACTTGTTCCAGTTATACTATTGTTTGTAGTGTCTTTAACTTACAGGGGCGGCAGAACCGGGGGGGCACGTTCCTCCCCCCCCACCAAATTTTTTTGGGGGGCCTGGCCCCTCAAAAATATTGGCTCTTAGTCATTGTTTTACGGTGCATGCGTCTGCAATCAAACAAAACATTGTCACTATCACATAGCGTTAAATATAATCTTTAGTGCACCCCAAAGATTTTTGCAGTGCCCCCCAAAGATTTTTATCTTCCGCCGCCCCTGACTTATGAAGGTTAATTAACTTCCAATGAGGTCATATCCAATAACTGCTGGATAATCTACACAATTTTATTGAAAAACCATAAGATGTTTTGAACTTCAAGAGAGCAAAACCCTCAAGTTTTGCATGAGACTCTATACTTTTTATAAACTTATTTGAAAAAACTTCTAAAAATCTATATCTAATTATTTAGAAAAGTTAATTTTCTAACGCATGAAAAATTAATACAGATTTTTGTAGGATTTTTTTCCCCAACTTTATGAGATTTTGAGGGCAACGAAAGGAGAAAATATGACAAATCAATGCATTTCTTCGTCTTTCTGTCAAGAATATCTATGTAGTATTGTAGAATGACTCACTTTTTGGCATTAATGTGCAATTACATGTATGGAGTCTGTAAAGAGATCTTAATTTGTGAGTTTTATTCTTTTCCTAATCATTTGTGGTGACTAAATTTTTGCTTTAAAAACTCGTGCGTAGACATCTATTAATTTCAGCTCAGGACACCCAAATTTTTCTTTTCATATTAGGAAATAGAAACTTTAATTTACCCAATTATCAAACCGTAAGCTTTGGTAAACACACTCTTAGATATTTAGGAACGTTTATTTGGGCCAAACTAGATAAAGATGATAAAGAAAGGCCAAGCCTACAGTCCTTTAAAAATGTTATAAGGTGCAAAAATCTTGCAGACTTAATTAACAACAGCTGTGACTCATGGCTAATTTGTAATTCATAGCTAGATTAGAACATTAGATTTGTTTTTAACATGAATACATTTTCCTTATATCATGTATAATTTTTATATTTAGATTTTAATATATTTTTCTAGTTTTTTCAATTATATGTAATATATATACATGCAATATGAGTGGCCATGTTGTATCAGATACAGTATACAACCAGAAGCCGAAAGCAAGTGATTGTATATCTGATCAGTGTTCTGACCAGGAATTTCTTTCAGGGGGTCAAAGGGCCCACCAATCCGAAATTTTAAGTGAAAAAGAAAAGGGAGTATTGGAATTTCATTAGGGAGAGAGACATATTTTATTCCATTCCATTCCCATTATTATAAAAACATACTTATTTGACAATTTCAGGGGTTTGGGTTATGAATAAATAGGCCCTTTGCAGTTAATGGTCAGGTGTCTGTACTGGAGGGCAAAATTTTGTTTTTATATTAAATTGGTGATTCTTTTTAGCTACTTGTAAAGAACTGAATGAAAACATGTGTAACTAGTGTGTTACAGGTTTAAAGTCATTTCGCCCACGGACCATTTCGCCCACGCCAATTCGCCCACGCATAAAATCATCGCTACCATTGGAAATTACCAAAACAAAACTTCGAGGAGACTTATTAAAAAGAAACATAGTCTGTTGAAAGATGTATATGATTTTGAAGCATATTTGGAGCGATCATTTCACGATACGATCAGCGAAAATGGAGATCTAAACGCGACCAAGGACAGCGTTCACTTAATAGCTACCATATCAAGTCCGTTTCTACCAACTTATGACTCGGATGACTTTATTTCCC